AGCTAAGCAGGCATTATTTTTAAGCTGTCTCTGAATGAATCACAATTGTTGTCTAAGGCCTTTCATACATAACAAAAGCAATAACCTTTTAATTTTTTAACAATGGGAGGAAATGGAAGCCATTTGGCCTTGTGATAACATTAATAGGAGCACTTGGAGAAGCTGTTTCTAATCCAATGTAAGTGTACCCACTTTGTAGCTAAATGCAGATTTATGGCTACCCCACATTTGGGTATTTTTAACATTCTTGACTGCAGATAATGTGGAAGTTGAATAAATTTATACATTACAGAGCTGGACTTCTAGACTGTGTGTCTGTGTGTCCCTTCAAGTTGTTTCTGACTTAAGGCAACCCTAAAGTGACCCATTACAGGGTTTTCTTGCCAAAATTTGTTCAGAGAGAGTTTGCCATTGCCTTCCCCTGAGGCTGAGAGAGTGTGACTTGGCCAAGGTCACCCATTGGGTTTCATGGCTGAGTCGGAATTCAAACCCTGGTCTCCAGAGTCGTAGTCCAACACTCAAACCTAGGGGTAGGCAACCTTTCCCCTTTAAGGGCCGAGGGACTTCAGCTCCCAGAAGCCTCAGCCACGTTGGCCAATAGCTCCTGGGATTCTGGGAGCTGAAGTCCCTCGGCCCTTAAAGGGGAAAGGTTGCCTACCCCTGCTCAAACCAGTTGGTTGACTTTCAAGACACACCAAAGGTTCCAGGGATAGGCAACCTTTCCCCTTTAAGGGCCGAGGGACTTCAGCTCCCAGAATCCCAGGAGCTATTGGCCAACATGGGACTATTGGCCAACATGGCTGAGGCTTCTGGGAGCTGAAGTCCCTCGGCCCTTAAAGGGGAAAGGTTGCCTACCCCTGCACCAAACTTTCCCTTCACATGGTTTTATACCTTCTTTGGACTGAGATCAAGAGTTTAGAATAAAATGAGGTATAAATGATGAGTGTTGTGATGACATGCTAAATCGATGATACAGTTATATCGGAATAGTAGTTTATAATGGACAATAAACAAGAAAGAGATATATTTAATGTTTGGCATACGATGTTAAATTGATAATTACGATGGAAGTAAGATGGTTATGGGCTAAACTGCAAGAAAGCCAAGTTTAGGAAGTGTTTTTTAAATGTTTATAAATGTTAAATATGTTATGTGTGTAGTATTTGTTGTGTATGTTTTCTTTATGTCTTTTGGTTTTTTCTTTTTTTTTGTTTGGTTTATTTTTGTATGTATTTTTCTATAATTGTTTTTGTTTTAATCAATAAAATAATTAAAAAAAAACAAGAGTTTAGAATAAAATGGCTGCTTTGGACTTCAGTCCCCAGAACAAGTTTTAAAATAGCCTTTTTATGTTGATTTTCTTCCTTCTATATCAATATGGTGTTGTCAGGTTTTTCATCACCAATTCTGGGCATGTGCCTACATTGTAGAAATAATGCAGTTTGATCCCAGTTTAAGTGCTAAAGCTCCATCCTGGGATTTGTAGTTTTGTGAGACATTTAGCCTTCTCTGACAGAGAGCCCTGGTGCCACAACAAACTACAATTCCCAGAATTCCATAGCACTGAGCCATGGTGGTTAAAGCAGTGTCAAGCTAGATTATTTCTGCAGTGTAGATGCAGCCTACGGCTCCTACCACACTGCAGACTTAACCCAGTTTGATGCTGGTTTAGCATAAGTTTCTGCTTCTTCAAAAGATTGGGCTGGAGTCTAGCTTCTGGTAAAATTCTTTGACTGTGTCCGCACTGCAAAAATAATCCAGTTTGACACCACTTTAACTGCCACGGCTGAATGTTATGGAATCCTGGGATTTGTAGTGTGTTGTGGCACACTCTCTCAGCCTCAGAGGATAGCCATGGCCAACCACCTCTGAAGAAACTTGACAAGAAAACCCTGGAATAGTTTCAACAGGCGTATAACAACAAACAATGTGAATAGACTATTTAAGAGGAACCGCTGAACTTTTAAAAAAACATGATATATGAGAAATTTTGATAAAACTACCATTCCCAGCATGCTTAGAGAAGCAGAGAAAGAGCGAAGGGGAGGAATTTTGTCCCCCCTCAGCCTCGGCTTTCCGTGCCGCTGATAAAACTACCTTTCCCAGCATGCTTAGGGAAGCAGAGAAAGCGCGAACAGAAGGCGAATTGGAGGAAGTTTGTCCCCTCAGCCTTTCCGTTCCGTGCCTCTAATAAGACTACTACTCCCTGTCCGCTGGGGGAGGCAGAATAAAGCGAACATAATGCGAAGCGGAGGAAGTTTGTCCCCCTCAGCTTTCCTTTTCTACCACTCCCAGCAAGTCCACCCTTTCATGACAGAATAGAGTGAATAGAAGGGGAGACTCCCCGTTTCTTGCCGCTGATTAAACTACCATTTCCCAGCATGCGTAGAGCGGTCAGAAGGCGGATAGGAGGAAGTTTCTCAACTTCCGTTTTCCGTACCTCCAATAAAACTACCACTCCCAGCATACAAAGGGAGACACTAGATCGAAGAGAAGGTGAGGAAGTTTCCCCCAGCTTCCGCTTTCCTTGCAGATTAAAACTACCACTCCCATCATGCCTAGCGGGACATAAAAGCCCTAACACAAGGCGAATGGGAGGAAGTTTCTCCCATCAGCCTCCGCTTTCCGCTGATAAAACTACCACTCCCAGTATGCATAGGGGGACAGAATAGAGCGAAGAGAAGGCGAAGAAGTTCCCCCCTCAGCTTCCGCTTTTCATACCGCCAATACACCTCCACTCCCATCATGCCTAGCGGTACATAAAAGCCGTAACACAAGGCGAATGGAGAGGAAGTTTGTCTCCCTCAGCTTCCGTTTTCCCTGTCACCGATAAACTATCTTTCCCAGCGTGCTTAGCGGGTCAGAAAAGAACGAGCGAGAGCGGGTAGAAGAAGGGCCGCCGCGTTGACGGTTGCCGCCGCCATTTTAGGACAGCAGGAGGAAAGAGGAGGAGGGGAGAAGCAGCCCCAGCAGCAGCAGCAGCAGCAGCAGCAGCAGAGCGCGGGATGGACTCCTTCTAACGCTTTTCTACCCAGAGAGGAGTTATTTTTTCCTTATTTCTTTCTAAGGAATTCATTTCCCCAAAGGGCTAGTCTGGATGGTAGCCTCTTAGTCTCAGCAAGGACGGTAAGTGGTTTTTGGAGGGATATTTTCCTTATTTTTATAAGGCGGGCTGCCATTAACGGCCAGTTGGGGGGGCATTTAATCGGATTTTCTTTATCCTTCCTTCTCTCTCTTTAATGGCGCCCTCGTCCTTAATTGTCTCTCCTTTTCCCTCCTTTTCGTCTTCAAAGGGAGAATCTCCAGCCATTTTGAAGTGCTGCTTTTCAGGCTCTCAACCCCACTGCAATCAACTTTTAAAAATAATAATTTTAATTATTCTTATGTTGTTGTGTTGTTTCTGACTTATGGCGACCCTGGGGTTTTCTTAACAATATTTGTTTCCCATTGCTTTCCTTTGAGGCTGAGAGAGTGTGACTTTGCCTAAGGCAATCCTGTCACTGGGTTTTCTTGGTGAGTTTCTTCAGAGGAGGTTGGCCATTGCCTTCCCCTGAGGCTGAGAGAGTGTGATTTGCTTAAAGCAAACCTATCATGGGGCTTTCTTGGCAATATTTGTTCAAAGGGAATTTGTCTTTGCTTTCCTTTGAGGCTGAGAGCATGTGACTTGCCCAAAGTCACCCAGTGGTTTTTGTGGCTGAGCTGGGAACCAATCCCTGGTCTCTAGGGCTATAGTTCAAACCACTAAGCCTGGCTATTTATTGGTGTATTCATTGCAGTTTTTATACCACTTTTTTCCTGACATAGGACTCAAAGTGGTTTGCAACAAGAGTTGTTCTTGAGTGCCTTCCTTTTCAACTCATGGTGACCCTAAGGTGAACCTATCGTGAGGTTTTCTTGGCAAGATTTCTTCAGAGCAGGTTTGCCATTGCCTTCTCCTGAGGCTGAGAGAGTGTGACTTGCCCAAGGATACCCAGTGGGTTTCCATGGCTGAGCTGGGAAACACACCCTGGTCTCTAGAACAGGAGTAGGCAACCTTTCCCCTTTAAGGGCCGAGGGACTTCAGCTCCCAGAAGCCTCAGCCATGTTGGCCAATAGTCCCATGTTGGCCAATAGCTCCTGGGATTCTGGGAGCTGAAGTCCCTCAGCCCTTAAAGGGGAAAGGTTGCTTACCCCTGATCTAGAGAGCACTCAACCCACTACACTAAGGACCTTTACAGACTGCCAGAAATAGTGCAAATTGAGTCCACT